AGACTCGGATCCACCCTCTGTGCAAGGAATGCTGTCCACATGGGGACCCTAGACGCAGACAGGATAAGTGAGCCCCTGGATCCCCCAGCAGGTGAAGCCTGTGTTCACTTATTTATGTTTATTTTATTTTTCCATAATTTATTGGGGTGCAAGTGGTATTTGGTTACATGAACAAGTTCTTTAGTGGTGATTTGTGAGATTTTGGTGCACCCATCACCTGAGCAGTGTACACTGCACCATATTTGTAGCCTTTTATCTCTCGGCCCCACTCCCACTCTTCCCCCTATGTCCCCCAAATCCATTGTATCATTCTTAGACCTTTGTGTCCTCACAGTTTAGCTCTCACATATCAGTGAAAACATACAATGTTTGGTTTTCCATTCCTGAGTTACATCACTTAGAATAATAGTCTACAGTCTCATTCAGGTCACTGAAAATGCTGTTAATTCATTCCTTTTATGGCTACATAGTATTCCATCTATATATATATATACACACACACACATACACACACACACACATACACACACACACACCACGGTTTCTTTATCCACTCATTGATGGAGGGGCATTTGAGTTGGTTTCACAATTTTGCAATTTTAAATTGTGCTGTTATAAACACGTGTGTGCAAGTATCTTTTTCAAATAATGACTTTTTTTCTGCGGGGTAGATACCCAGTAGTGGGACTGCTGGATCACATGGTACTTCTACTTTTAGATACTTTTTAATGTTTAAACCTCCTACCTGTAGGACTCTCCAAGCACTTCAGACATTAGTGGCTTGAGAGTGGGACCCTTCTATCTCTGGAAATGGCTGGAAGCAACACCAGCAAAACATGATGCCTGGATGCAGATCCCTGTTTGGGAGATTTAGGCAGTAGCTTTCAGAGCTTGAATCGTGAACCACAGCAACAATGGATTCTGCACCGTGGCCTGGTTCGCATCAACGAACAGAGAGGTGGAGCAATGCTCACCCTGTGAGGGATGCCTACGCTCGCTATGTAGCATGCACACTGTAGTTTTTATTCTGATTCATTCAAATAAAAGGCTACCAATCTAAAAAATGTCTCTACAAGGGATGCTCCACAGGTAGAAAAACCCAAGTTCGTTGCTCAAATGAGCAGAAATGTTAGATTAAACCCGTGGAATATTTAAGAAACAAAACCCTGTTTAAGGAAGTGCGGCTTAAAGTCCCACAGGAAATAGCTGGTAGATTTAAATGGTGGGCATGCTAGTCTCAAGAGTTAATTTTATTTTCACTGAGATACAATTCAGATACCATAAAACTCACCGTGTTTAGGTGTGCAATCCAGTGGATTTTAGTACATTCACAAACTTGTGCAAGCAGCACAACTGTCTAATTCCAGAACCCTTTAGTCCTCCCCCCAAAAAGCTCTGCGCTTGTTTAATTTTACGGAGTGTCTAGAGTGTCTGAGATCATTTATGTGACCACAATATTTATTGAGAAGTTTTCAGAATTTTTTTGTAGGATCTGTAGTAGCTAAAGAGTAATACGGACATTTCTACTGAAAGTTGTCTTTCAAAATGGACAGAAAGCTAACTGAGGTTTAAGGTGTAAACATGTAACATCGTTAAAGAAAAACCAATTGTTTTCATTTCTGACATCTCTATTCACACAAACGACCAGCTAGTACTTAGAGCATGAAGTATGCTGCCGGCGAAGTCTCCTGGAGGCCACTAGATTCAAATGTTGGCAGAAATATTATCTTGGCAAATACTAAGTGTGTAAGAAATGCCATTAAAGCTAGGAAAGCAAGGCATTCATTGACCAATAACAATTATGGATTATCTATTTGTGCAGCTCAGAAAGTATGTCTTCTCTGCTTCTTTTCCTGAGCTACCAAGAGAATTAATTTAATTCAAGTTTTGTCTCATAATTTCAAGTCAGACCACCCTCTGGGCATCAATCTCAGGCCGGCTTTATCAACAGCAACAAAACTCTGACAGTTTGAAGCTTGCATCTAAAAACACACAGCGAGTGAGGCTTTCAAAAAGAGCGAGGCATTGACTTTCAAAACAGCTCTGTCTATTGCATGCAATCTTGATAAGGGAATTTCGCAATGAAGCATTTGCTGGGCGGGTGACTGATAGCAAAGCTGTGTTTCCTGGGGAAAAATGTGGCATCTTCAGTTTACATCAACTCGCTCTCATCTGAGACAAAACTATAAGTAAAAGGCAAAAGTTTATCCTCTACTGTGTTGTTATGGTCCAGGATGTTTCTTCTCATGCTCTTTAAATGAAAGAAAGTGGCTGCTTCACTATTGGAATGCCAGGGAGCTCAGCTGCTGTTGTTAGAATGACTTCCTGGTGGCACAGCCATGGCCAAGTGACCTTGTTTCCATGAGAATCCGTGGTTTTATGTTTAGGTCTAGATCATTCTCTAGTTAAACGATGAGGCTCGGGTCAGCCCCTTGGGGCCAGCAGCGACCTTTCTGGGGAAAGTGGTGGCTGCTTGCTATCCGGTTACTTCTGAAGACTTCGTGGTAAAGTTACCTAATTGAGAAATTTCCCTCCTTTTGGAGAGAATTTACACACATACCAAGAATGGCTTTGGGGAGCTATTTCACTGCCAGGGAGTCAATTTAAACAACAAAAAGTCAAGTCATCCTGTCCTTTTCTGCCTGTTCGCTGCCTGCGTGTGGGACCCCATGAAGGCTCGGAGCTATCAAATGAAGAAAAATGGACCTTCGCCTTACAACTTTATTGGCACCCCATTCCCCCTGCATGGAAGTTTTCATAAGAGGCCTGGCAAATGGTTTTAAAATAGCTGTGGTATCTGGCAGGAAGGAGTGTGCACAGGCTAGATGTGCTGTTTCCATTTCATTCTTCAGCTGTGGGTCCCTGCCGTGATGGATGGCAGATAGCGCCTGCTTGCCTAGGATGGGGACAGATGCCGTTGGAAACAGGTCAGGTAAACGAGAGCTGCTAGATTCACCCTGATGAAACTCATTAGCTCCTGGCTCTCTGAGCACTTCTTTTCAAAGTTAACACTCTGGGCTTTCAAAGAACAGATTCCTGCTGCGAGCTCGCCCAAAGCTAGCTACCAAAAGCTATCACATTTGCCTCTCTTTGCTCCTGGTGATTCACAGAGAAGGTACTAGACACACGTTTTAAATATAAGCCTTTGCTACGTCTCTCTTGTCTGCTTATGAAGACACCAGCCATAGCGTGTTAGAGGCATGGAGCCACCATTTCTGTAGCGGAGTTCCACTGCACCTTTTCAGGAGGAGTGCTGGCCAGGAGAGAGGGGCCACAGCAGCCCCCTCTGCCGTCCCTTTGTCTTGCCACGGTAGCCCCTCTTCCTGGGTGTCAGCTTCTCAGTACTGTCCTCAATGACTGAAGCTTCAAATGCAATATACCAATTAGAGTTTTGGCCAAAGTTGCGGCAGTGACTTTAAGGCAAGTTTGTAGAGAAGTCTTGACTCCTGAGATGAACCATTTTTTCAACAGGCGAATATTGTTCTAAGAACAAAACGTTGAGAATATTGAAAATGTAATCTGTTGGTGTGTCCTAATATAAACTTAGACATTCTAGAAAATGCACAGCTCTTTGTTTTAAAATCATCACAAACACAATAAGAACAGGAGCATAGAAACCAAGGTTTGATATCCATACTTGGTGCCCGTTGTAGGCTGGGGCTAATCCAAACCAATCAATATCTAACTAAAAGAATTATTTTGTTTGATGTATAAAAATAAGATTATATAATTAGAATTGGATAGACCAGAGCTTGAATCTTTTCTCTGACGTTGTTGATCTGGTGGCTGAGTTTCGGTTTTATTATTGGTCAAATGTGGGATCATGTTATTTATCTTGTAATGTTATTTTAGAAACAAATAAGAAAGCTCCTCACGTGGTAGGTAAACCACCCAGCAAATAAGATGCAGCTGTACTTTTGTAATTTTGTTTTTATTTTTTTAGAGACAGGGCCTCACTCTGTCACCTAGGCTGGAGTGCAGTGATGAGATAATAGCTCACTGCAACGTCAAACTCCTGTGCTCAAACAATCCTCCCACCTCAGCTTTCTGAGTAGCTGGGACTACAGGTGCATGCCACCAGCATGGCTAATTTTCTAAAAAATATTTTAGGAATGAGGTTTCGCTATGTTGCCCAGGCTGGTTTCAAACTCCTGGGCTCAAGCAATCCTTCCATGTCAGTCTCTCAAAGTGCTGGAGTTACAGGCATGGGCCCCCACGTGAGGTCCCAATTACACCCTTGGAACTCACAGCAATTCATTGGCATATCACCACGATTGTCCTTAGTTCAAAGACCAGTAAAGACATATTTATCACAAGCCGTAGCCTCCAATTAAACATATATTTGAAGCCAAGATCCATCATGACTTGCTTTGGAGAAGGTGTCACCTGTCTAAAAGAGTCTAGGAAGGTTTCATGAGTATGGAATCTTAGGAACTTCCACCTTTGAGAATTAGAAAAATGTGCCTATTTGCTTTTGCACTCTCTCCTGCCCTGATCTGCCATATGACGTATGGCCGAGGGATCTGTGGGCTCCTGGCAATAGTTCCAGGTAGCCCAGATGGGAGGGCCCAGGATGGGCAGCCACTGCTGTGGAATCTGAGGCTTGTCACAGGAAAAATGGGGATTAACGATGGGCAATTGGCGGGCTCCCGGATGGAAAGAACATCTACGAGGAGAGAGCAATACTCTGGTGTGAAAATGCCCGCTTGGCAAGGGGGCTGTGACTCACTGACATTCACAAGGTCATCTGGAGGCCATTCCCCAGCCTCCGTTGGATGTGCTGCCTGCCCCTGGCCTGTCTGGCATCGCTTTCAGTTTGTGTTGCTTTTCTGGAACGTCAGGGCTGTGGCCGTTTCTGCAGCGCAGTTGTGGAGGGAGCTGCGGGACGCTCCCCACTGTGCTCTGCAGGGCTTTGACTGGACCTCTAGGGAAAGTCTGGCCACCTGGCCCAGCCTTGTCTACGCTTCGGTGAAATAGTCGCACCTAGAATGAGACGCGCGATGCACACATGGGCCGACCCACCCTGGCAGGACGATGATGTCGTGCTCCTTGGCGTGACTGTCATGGCTTTCAGCTGCAGGCAGAGCCCAGGCCAGGAGGAAAGGAGGGGCAGCCCAGGCAAGGCAGATGTCTCTCTTTTTCCTACTGCAGAAAGGGAAGGCTCCCAATGAATGGACCCCATCTGCGCTTGGCTATGACTTTCCATCAAAGTCAGGATTCTCCTCTTCTCTAGAAGCCCATCCTTTAGGTGGGCTGAGAAGTTTGCAGATGTATAGCAAACCTCTTGAATGATTTTATATTTCTGAAATTTAAAAAAAAAAAAATAGGCCGGGCATGATGGCCCACACCTGTAATCCTAGCACTTTGGGAGGCCGAGGAGGGCAGATTGCCTGAGCTCAGGAGTTGGAGACCAGCCTGGGCAACGTGGTGAAATCCTGTCTGTACTAAAATACAAAGAATTAGCCCTGCGTGGTGACACGTGCCTGTAGTTCCAGCTGCTCAGGAGCCTGAGGTAGGAGAATAGCTTGAACTCGGGAGGCGGAAGTTGCAGTGAGCCGAGATCGCGCCACTGCACTCCAGCCTGGGTGACAGAGTAAGACCCCATCTCAAAAAAAGAAAAAAAAAAAAAAGACTCTAAGAAGAAAACGTGCCTATCCATAGAGTTGTGAAAGTCTTCCCTCAAATGGCCATGGGAAGCTGAGTTCATTTGCTGTTTGCATTAGATGAAAACGAGGGTGCTCTGTGAGCCTTGTTACTTCTGGGGTTCCTATGTATGGCTGGCTCCTAAAATATGCATGAGGCCTGTATACACATTTGCAACTTGGAGTTACCATTTCCATTAAGTCTCAGGGTTAAAAAAATAAGTAATCATTACATGAAATGGGTGTTTCTTTTGGCAAAATAAAAATCTGAAAGATACTAAAATTACACAGTTCATTTCAACCAGATGCTGGCGAGTCCTTCCTCAGAAATCCGGTCCTTGCACTGCCTGGGAATACAAACAGATGCTCTGTGGCACTTCATTATTGGATCGCGAGCACATTGATGTTGCATAAAGGGCATTGTAGAGTAATGTTTGCCATGCTCCATGCCAATTGCAGGCTGAGATTGCTACAGCATCATGGAACAGATGGAAGTTAAAGTCATCGCTAAGCTCCAGTCTCCATTTCTTTTGATGAAGAGCTCCAAAGATAGCTTTAAGTGAACTTTCAAAGGTAACTTTCTGGGCTTCTAAAATGCATAAAATTTATAGAGGGTATTGCACTAAAGCATGAGAAATACTTAGGTACGCCTCTTATTTGTCGTCTTTTGGGGACTAGACTATGTACAGGCTTATTGGTAAAGCTCTTTTCTAAATAATGTGTTTGTGCACCCTTGGTTCAGCTATCATTTCTGAGACTATCCCCATTTTCCTTGCCTCCATGAAAGGGAAACCTTACTGGAAGGTTGCAGCAGGTGGAGGTGGCTGTGTGCAAGCCTCTGGCGTTCTGCTAGCAGGGCGCTGCTTGCAGTCTCACTTAGCAACTAGAGTAATGGGTAGATCTGGCATTAGGGGAGATTGAAAGAGAATAATTTATTTTCGTGAAACTCCGAACCTCATTGAACTGAAGAGCCCACACAGCAGTGCTTAAGAGCCTGTGGGTCAGGACTTGTCAAAATTGGATTTAAAGTCCTAATTCTGATACTCACACTTTCGGCACCCCCCGCAAGTTGCTGGCTATTAATATTTCTGAGCTTCAGGTTCTGTGTCTACTATTTAATAATAACCCTGACTTCACAGGGTGGTTGAGTGGTTACATGGGAAAACCATTTCAAAAACATTACATTGGGTGGCTGGAGACTGTACCTATGGGCTGTCACTGCCGTGCACACACACGTGTGTGTGTGTTTTCACAAGCATGCCCAAATATGCATAAAAATACCAAATATTACCAAGAACATAAATATCTAGCATTCCAGATGTTGTTATTTACCACACTCTCATTTCCTATTTCATACGACTTTTCCTCACAGACAGGCAATTTCTTTTGTGAACAGCGTTCTCCTTAGTGGATAAAGAAGCACTTTTAGCATAACCCAAACACTTCTAACCCACTCATGTTTTAGCCACGCCGTGCTTTGGGTCCACTTCTCTAAAGACCAATGGAAAAGAACACCTCGGCCTTGAGTGGGGTTTTTCCCTCCGGCTTCATTGTCAGTGAAAATATCACTTTCAGTCTTGCCTGGGATCAGAATCTGGAGCTGTGATGTCCACAGCATCCGCCCCTTTGGCAGGATGGATATCCATCCCTTTCTCTTAAGTGGAACACTAGTATGTTCAAACATCAAAATCATAAGGCACAGAAAGACAAATATCATGTGTTCTCACTCATGTGTGCAAGCCCAAAATGGTAATCTCATGGAGGCGGAGAGTAGAATGACAGGCCCCAGTGGGTCTGCTGAGAAGGGGGTGTGTGGGGAGGGTTGGTAAATGAGAACAAATCTGCAGTGAGATAGAAGGAATGAGGTCTAATGTTCCATAGTACAGGAGGGTGACTCTACAGTAAACAACAGTGTATTGTATATTCCAAAATAGCTAGAGGAAAATATTTGAAATGTTCCCAACACAAATAAATGATAAATGCTGGAGGTGATGGACACCCAAACACTCTGACTTCATCACTATACATTTCACGCACGCATCAAAAGAACCTGTGCACCCCCATGCATCTGTGCCAACATTATGCTTCAATACAAACTACAAAACAATCCTATCTGGAAACAGGTGAGTGATGTCTGTCTTGGTATTGGAGTGTCTGGTTCCGGAGGACAGTGGGTTGGGAAGGAGACAGGGGCCTGAGCGTCTGGCCCAAAGAAAGGGACCGCAGTGTCTAGGGAAGAGACAGAGGGGCTCCTGGCCAATGGTGTCCTCCATCCCAACCTGCCCCTTTTGTTTCCATGTCAAGGAACTGAGATCGAATGACCCCACCTGTCAGTTCACTGGAACTGCCATGCCCTGATATTGACGTGAAAGGGGTATGCTAATGTCCCAGTGAGAAATATTTCAACATTCTGACTGAAGCTCCCCTGTGGCAGGACAGACAGCCAAGAGTATGCTGAGATTGCTTAGAAATGTGCTTTTCTAGAACATAGACTTTGTCATCAAGTTGCATGGTCATCCAGTAATCTTATGTATTATTTTAATAACTAAAATGGTTTCTCCCCGCTCCCTGCCAGGTTTACTTCCTGAGATTGTAAACAGCATGAGATGGAGGTTAAACTGGGCTTTTCCTTCAGTTACGGTCTTCAGTATTGTGCACTAAATGGAAGTTTTGTCGAATTGAATTACTAACTCAATTTATATCCGTATACATATATCAGTATGTTTATGCCAATACCCATGTCTGTATTTATATATTTCTGTATGTATCAATATCTTTACCTATCTATATCAATATCTTTATTAATATAATTATCTACATCAAATCAATACCTGTATATCTATATCTATATTCAAATGTATCTATCTCTACCTAGATCTTTATCAGTACACCAGCACTAATATCTATGCCAATATAATATAATTGCCTGTATCTGCATCAGTATCTAGATCAATATCTGTATCAGTGTAAATATCTACATGATCTATACATCCACCCACGTCCACACTCACATCCACATACACTTCCACACTCACATCCACATCCACATCCACACTCACATCCATATCCACATCCTCATCCACATCCACACCCACATCCACACTTACATCCTCATCCACGCCCATATCCACACTCATACCCACATCCACACTCACATCCACATCCACACTCACATTCACACTCACACCCACATCCACACTCACATCCACATCCACACTCACATTCACATCCACACCCACATCCACACTCACACCCACATCCACACTCCATCCACATCCACACTCACATCCACACTTACACCCACATCCACACTCCATCCACATCCACACTCACATCCACACTCACACCCACATCCACACTCACATCCACACTCACACCTACATTCACACGCACATCCACACTCATACCCATATCCACACTCCACATCCACACTCACACCCACATCCACACTCACACCCACATCCACACTCACATTCATATCCACATCCACCTCCACACTCACATCCTCATCCACACCCACATCCACACTCACACCCACATCCACACTCATGTCCACACTCACATCCACATCCACACTCACATCCACCACGTTCTACACCCGACAGTCCAACATTTCAGTGGTTTCCACAGGCTCAACACCACATCCACGAACTCATGTCCACACTTCACAACCAGCATCACTCACCATCCACACCCACATCCCCACTTCAATCCACATCCACATCACATCACATCCACACCCCACATCACATTCATTCACCCACATATTTTGTCGCAACGGCTCACATCCAACTACACTCCACAAAGCTCTGCGCTAGTCAACATCCCACTGCACTCACGGCAGGCTCACATGACATACAAAAATCGTATCCCTTAACTCATGTCAGTCGTGGTCATGCATCTCTGGTTTCATCCTTTCAGTTCCTGGCTCGCACGTTGACGTCAACATTTGCCTGGCATCTGTCTAACCCCACACGACCAGGTTCATGCACCACAATGTGAACTAACACCTCCCATCCCACACGACACATGTATACGTTACGTCTAATGGATCTTGTCTATACCATCCACACTTTCTTATTCTCGCCACATCCACACTGCAATCATATAAGTCCCTTACAACTGTCCAGATTAGTCCTTATTCTTCTATATTTTCTTTATCTATCTCCACTCACCACACCTTAATCCACGGACTCCCGGCTCACCACACTCTATTCTCGCTAAAATTTTCGTTTTCTCCACCACTTGCCACATATCGGCAACAATGCGGTCACAATACCGTAGCTTATGGATCTAACAGCTTCTTCGTGCATCCGTACAGCGCCAGCGCAACACATCAATAGCGCCCCACATCCACATCACCACCCAGCAATCCAGCACTCACACCCAGCATGCCACACTCACTCCACAGCCACATCCACCATCCACACTCTGCACATCCACAGCTCCATTCCACCACTCCACACCCCACATCCACATTCATGTCCACACTCACACCCACATCCACACTCATGTCCACACTCACACCCACATCCACACTCACATCCACACCCACATCCATACTCACATCCACATCCACACTCACACTCACATCCACACCCACATCCACATCCACATCCACACTCACATCCACACTCACATCCACACTCACACCCACATCCACACTCACATCGACACTCACATCCTCATCCACACCCACATCCACACTCACATCCACATCCACACTCACGTCCTCATCCACACCCACATCCACACTCACATCCACCTCCACACTCACATCCTCATCCACACCCACATCCACACTCACGTCCACACTCACACTCACATCCACACCCACATCCACACTCACATCCACACTCACACTCACGTCCACACTCACACCCACACTCACACCCACATCCACACTCACGTCCACACTCACACTCACATCCACACCCACATCCACACTCACATCCACACTCACACTCACATCCACACTCACACTCACATCCACACTCACATCCACACTCACATCCACACTCACATCCACATTCACAATCTCATCCACGTCCACACTCACATCCACATCCACACTCACAACCACACTCACAATCACATCCACACTTACATCCACATCCACATTCACAATCACATCCACATCCACACTCACAATCACATCCACATTCACAATCACATCCACATCCACACTCACAAGCACATCCACACTCGCATCCACATCCACATCCTCATCCACACCCACACTCACATCCACACTCACATCCACATCCACACTCACAACCACACTCACAATCACATCCACACTCACATCCACATCCACATTCACAATCACATCCACATCCACACTCACAAGCACATCCACATTCACAATCACATCCACATCCACACTCACAAGCACATCCACATCCTCATCCACACCCACACTCACATCCACACTCACACCCACACTCACACCCACACTCACACCAACAGTCACACCCACACCTCTACCTCTATCTGCAGTGGTTTCACGAACTTTATCTTTGTAAAAGTTATACCCAAGGAAAGGGCCACTAATTCCTGTTTAACAATTGGTCTTTTAAGAGATAATTTTCTTCTTAACATCAGTTTCCAGAAAAACAGTCTGCATTAAATGCACAGGATTTTAGAGACAAGAAAACAGTCATTCCAGTGACTACGTCCACAATGTATGGGAGCAATGTGTTTCATCCATGTACATGTATTTGGAATGAGGACCTCAGGGTATGTTGATACCTCAGCCATCCGGCCGTGGCTGACCTTGTCCCTAGCTTGCAGTGCTATCCATGGACAGCAGGTCACTGCTGCTCACTCCTTGTGCCCAGCCGCCCAGTTCTGGTAATAAACACACCTCCGTGTGTATCAGGGTCTAGGAGCTCTGTGTCTTAGCTACGCCACAGAGCTTCAACATTCAATCAGAAGGAAATCTACAGGTACCACTAAAAAGGAAAAGCCAACTCCAGGAAACACTGAGACACTTTCAGAGTTTCTGTGGGAATTTCACTTGGTGAAATCACTTACATCTGTCTACGAGAAACCCCCCCCAGGAGTGTTAATGCCATTTTTTCCTCTCTTCCCCTCAGTGGAAATCAGGGATCAATCCTCGGAGCCCCTCATTACTTGACACGGGAACCCAGGTGTGAGCATGATTAGTGGCGTTTGGGGTGTTTTCTGGGACAAGGCTGTGACCCACAGTTGCGTTAGTCCGCCAGGCCACCAAACCAGGTGCTCCTCCCATGCTTTTTCAGGCAGAAAATCTCTTAAATTGAATAATTGTCATTTTCCAGCCCTCAGTGAGGCCAGAAATCACTAGAAATCTCGTTTAAACTTTCCCTCCTCGTTCTCAAGCAAATTTACAACAGCGGCCAGTACTTTTGCAAGATCGCTGGAGAGAATTCATCATCAGAATAGAGAGATTTTTCTCCATTGTTGAGCCAACTACCTTCCATCAATTTTTTCATCATTTCACCCATCTTATGATGACCTTCCTTGGATAAAAAAGCCCAGCTCTAACTCTTTCTTTCTGCCGGCAGAGCCTCCCTGTGTATGATATGGTTAATATTGATTATAAATCACAATCAACTCTGCAGGTCCTGCTCATCCCCCCGGACTTCCCTTGCTCACCCTCTACAGAAACTATTCTCTACCCTTCACCTGCTGTGAAATGCTATTTTGAATATTTCTTCTTTAAAATGGAATCACCACTTCCAATTGTATTTATCTAGATTCCAAAACCTTCACGATGACTTCACGTCAGTGCCAGCAGACAGTCGTGGAATACAGTGCGTGCTCTCTGCCGCTGACAGCAATACCGGTGATCTAATTTATCCGGCCACTGGAGGAAATTCTCTGTACAGGCTCTGGGTCCCTTTGGATTAGTGACTCCAAGGTCAACTGGAGGAGAAAGGAGGCAAGGCTGAGGGTCACCCGCTCCTGTCTCATTTGCATGGTCTTGAATATATGGTTTTAGGAAACATGCATTTTTGATTTATGATGTCAAAATTCTTCAATGATTTTTGTACAGATGTGCACAATAGAGGAATGAAATACAATATTGACAATTTGTGGCCTCGCTTTTTTTTTTTTTTCAAGTTTTCTCCAGTGACGCTAAATTCAACTTTGACCACTTGGGTTTTTAACGTGACTTTAAAAATCCCAACCACAATTAGTTCCTCCAAGGCTGATCTGATTGTAGGCACATTATTCCTGAGGCTAAAGATAGAGTCATTTTCCCATCTAGCTGACTTTAGCACAAAAATACAACTGAATCACAAGCAATGAAATTTTATCTATTCATTTTATCTATTCAACGGTCTTCTTTCTCTATTAGAGTTAATAATACTGGGTTTTACTCCTTCCTCCTAAATAACATAAAATATATGAAATTGAAATTAGCACATCTCCAGGATGATGAGGTCTTGAGTGGATTTTATTAAATTTACTCACATGCTGTTCATTTTTTCTTAACCACAGAGAGTGTGTGGAACTAGGCTTCTTTTCTATTTCTTATAGTAATAGAGAGAAGCTTTTTTTTTTTCAGTAACAAACCAAAAACAACAAATAAAGCCATGGAAAGCTGTTTGAAACAAAAAGAAAGCAGTGATTATAGCATTATCAAAACTAAGAAGAATGATAAAGAACTTTAACTGACACTTTACATCATGCTATGCTCTCTGCTAAGAACTCCTTACACAGGCTGGGCCCAGCGGCCTGTAATCCCAGCACTTTGAGAGGCCAAGACAAGAGGATAGCTTGAGCTTAGAGTTTGAGTCCAGCATGGGCAAGACAGCAAGACCTTGTCTCTATTAAAAATACAAAAATCAACGGGGTAAGGTAGTGCATGCCCGTAGTCCCACCTACTCTGGAGACTGAGACATGGGAATCGCTTGAGCCTAGGAGGCAGAGGTTGCAATAAGCTGAGATTGCACCACTGCACTTCAGCCTGGGAAACCTCAGGGTCTGGAGACCCTGTCTCAAAAAAAAAAAAAAAAAAAAAAAAAATTATTCCTTTTTAAAGAACTTCTCACATAGACCTGGTTATGGCTGGTAATCCTTCTTCAGTGAGGAGGAAGGGAGGGTCATTTTGTTCCAAATGTTGATGAAACTCTGCCAACATCTGTGGAAGAACAAGAGGGGCCTACAGATGATGGGGGCACCCACCAGAGAAGAAGCAGCAAACATTAGTCCCAGGGGGCCAGAGTCGGCACAAGACAAGGAGGCATTTTCTGGGAAGGTGAAGGGACTGGGAAGTGCAGTTTGGGGTTGGGGCAGGACACAGGGGAGGATGTTTAGGAAGATGGACAGGTCCCTTCAGCTTCCAGGTGTGGAGCCTGGAGCATCAGTGGGCACCAACGGGCAGAGGACATGCAGCCATGCATGTCCCAGTCCTGGCACATGACCGAGTACTGGGACTCTCACCAGGCATGGGAAGCCCAAAAAAGTGTGCTGGAGAAGTCCCACTCAGGAGTTTCCATCATGGAGCAGCCAGTACCCGTACTTCAGGCAGCTGCCATGGGTTTAAAGAAATAAAAATAAGAGACATCAGGCATTTGGAAGAGAGAATTGGGAAGATGTGTTGGCCGAGCAACCATGAGCATGAGGAAAGCGTGGCACAGGGGCCAGGGCTGCAGTCTTCATCACGGTCCATGTAAATACTTCTAGTTTAGGGGACAGAGGTGGTGGTAGTGGAGGGAAAGACCAGGAACCACAACAGAGGCTTCCTTATGTCCTTTTACCTCAAAACAAAAACGAAGCAAAATAAGCAAACAAAATGCTTTCTCAAGGCGAAAAGTGCCTCTCACCAAGAAGCACCTCCCTTTTTCTGGGTTTCCAGGGAACAGATCTGAAAGTCCTGAGGCCTGTTAGGAAAGGCAGAGACGCCACCTGGGCTTGCCCGTTTCTCTGGCTAAGATTCATGCCTGCGTAGCGGAGGGGCCATGAGATCCATGGAAATGTCCTCTTCAGACAGTTTTGACGGGAAAGCATTCTTTGAGCTTTGGGTAACGTTGTGCAGATCACAGTATTTTAAAATGGGAAAGTCACCTTGTGGGTCATCCAGGCCAACCATGCTAGGTTGCAGTCACAGAGAAAGTAAGTGTCCATGGGGACTTACAGGTGGCTCTGCAGCTAAAGCCTCAAGTCCCTTCAAGAGCTGACCATGATGACGGGGTTGGTTCATTCCCACCAGTTCTAAGGGTAAATGCTGCATTTTCCTGCAATGAATGTGACTTTAATCCAGGCATCTGTGCTGCAGTCTATGGAGATACTACTCTCAGGTCAATTGCTGCTGCCCTGAGCTTCTGAGAAGGTTCTGGAACTTACAACAAAGGACAGATTGTCTGAGCCTCCCAGGCTTGGGCCTGGGGTGACGGGCAACCATCTCCTGCCTCTGGAGTGGATGTGCTGGGTGGAAGGTTGGCGGGTGAGACCTGCTTCCTCAACCGATACGCTCATACCCCTGGTTGGAAGGACCTTCAGCAAAGTGGCTAGCTCTGGCCAGGCCATCCTGCTGTTTAAATGCTTCTTAAGGCCATCAAGTCTCAGGGAAAGGCTGGAGATCTTTGTTGGCTACAGAAACTTTGAGAATCTGATGAGATATTTAAACACTTTCCAGGGCTCACAGCTGGCTTGAAGTCCACTAGTTTCCTCTTCTAGCTCCTTAAGGGAGAGTGCAAGGGGCACTTGTCTTTTCAGGCATGCAGTTTCCCCCTATATAAAATAAAGCTTTTGCTTCAAGTGACTGAAGGAC